GGTGAAACAATTTTTAATATTTTTTATTTAATTACCCCCAAATAATTAATTATAAAACACATAGAAGGAATAGGAAAGGGAGACTCTGAAGGACTTTACGGATCAGCGCTCGGCTTCTATATAGGGACAGACAAAACAAATGTTTGTCATTTACGCCTGAGTTGATGTCATCATATCTGTAGGGCCTAGACTATCCCTACCTCACCACCGCATGCTTTTCGTCTCTAAAAGGTGCCTAGCGTCCCCGCTTAAGGTCCAAGAGGCATTGGACTACTATTAGGAGGTTTTAGACTTAACAATTAAATAAGAATTCCTAATAGGCCCACCTAGACACCAAGTCAAACACTTTGGACGTTCATTTAGCATGTAAAGTATCAAATTGGCCTCTAAGTTTTATTAATCATGCTAGCAAACACAATTAATGTGAAGGTCGCATGCTAAGTGTGTGCATACAAACAAGTTAACACGTATTAAAATTACGAATTAAAGAGGGCCGAAAATTATTACATGATGCGGATGTTATCAAATTGATTTTTAAAATACAACAGCAAAATTATTACATAAGCAAATTTTAGTTTATTAACAGATTTTCAAAGGGCAGAGATATTATTACAGACTAGTTAATTAATTATAGTAGCATACCAGATTATGTTGATTAACATGCTAGAAAGGGACACTAATTTATTTTATTTTTAAGAAAAAGTAAAACAATTTATTATAATGCAGAAAAATTAATTATTCTGAGCAGATTTAATCGGGGAAGCAAATATTTAAAGCAGATGCAGAAAATATTTTGAAACAATAAAACAGTAGCAGATTTAATTTAATACGGCGGTCAATTTGTTAAATGCAAAAAGTCAGGTGATTTTAATTAGGACAAACAAGTAACCAATGCAGAAAATACATTATTTTTTAGAACAATAGCATATGGTATTATTAGTGCAGAAATTAATTTTAGTGGCAGTTCAAAATGCAGAAAAATTAATTTCGGGCATGATTTTATCAGGACAGATTTAAAAACATGCAAGAGCTGATTTATTAGCTTTATTTTAGTAGAAAATTATAATAAATTCACTACACTTTAATAATGGCAGAAGAATCATAACAAAATTTTGGTTATTTATCATGCTGGAAAACAGTGGCAGAATTATATTATGTTATTTCGGTCATTAGCATGCTGGATATTAACTAATAATACATATGAACGTGATCTCTAGGTGTTTTTTTTCAAAAAAAAATGCATAGCACCTATAGGCATAATTTCTATACCCCGGATAATATGCAAAGGTAAAAAAAAAAAACCCTTGTAATCCTGATTTCTAAGTAGAACATGTTGAAAATTATAATAATATTCAAACGAAACATGTAGGCATGAACTCTAGGTGATTTGACTTTATTCACATGTAGGCATGAACTCTAGGCGACTATAAAAATTGGTTGAATGAATTGATTGTTTTACATGCTGGAAATATATTAGAATTATTTTCTAACAAAATTGCAAATTGACCTTCTAAACATGCAAGTAGATAAGACCTTATGAGTTTCATTTATTAATATGTAGAGGAGAATAGAGACTCAAATTAATTAGTCGACTGGTTTTCAACAACTAAGTATATAATCAGATTTTAATTAATTATTATCAAACTGATTTAACTCTTAAACATGCAGAAAATATTTAATCATTAACATTGCAGAAACTGATTATGTAGGTTAATTTTAATTATTTATAATCAAGCCGAAGTAGTTAATTAAATTATCTTAAATGGCATCAAACAAGTAATCGTGATGCAGAAGTTATCAAATAGTGAGCAACAAATATCTATAACAGATTTATTTCAATTTTGGACATGTTGAAAATTATTAGAAGCCTATAGACATGCTATCTAAGTGATTAACAAGTAAAAGACGATTAGCTGAAATAATTAATATACTGAAATTACTAAATCTGCTTAAGATAGGCTATTTAATTAACATGCTCTTTTATGCTCGCATGCTTCTGGCGATTTAAGCAACATAGATGAATTTAGCAACCACAAATAGTGAAGTAAGTAAAATAAAGCAATTAGCATGTAATCCCCCTCCCCTTTAGACGATCTCCCAAATATGTTTCATAGCTGATAGAGGGTTAGAGCGTTAGAGTAATACAAAATTATTACAAGCCAACAGAACAAATAAATAATATCTACACCATTAAAATAAACTTAAACATAATAGTCTCATCCGGAAAATCTCTTCTAGATGACTCTTCAACCATCTTGAACCTTAAGTTCACACCCTGGTAAAGTGCAATGAAAAATAGGAGCAAATAATGATAACACATAAAAAGATAATTTAATATAGCAAAATGATAAAACTAACTACATGGGTACGCACATAATATTAATTAATTCATGCACACAAGTAGCATACGGACATGTAAGAATTCAAACAAGTTGTGGAGATATATAATCACACATTGAGAAAGAAAGGGATAAGAAATTGACCTGGATGCTTCCTTTCATTCATTCAAACAAACAACGATATTCGAAATAATGCGGAATGAAGATTAAACTAATGGAGGAACAACTAACCAGTTATAGCAGAAATATTTATCAGCAATGAAGACAAACTTAATCCACTATTAGACCCGAACACAGCAAAACAGCAAAACAGAGAGGAACTTTGAAGTTTTTAAACCGAAAGCACTTAATTCTTTTTCAGAGTAGAGAGCAATATATTATTTTAATATTCTTCAGAATGTAAGCCAATATACCCCGTCCTTAAAATAATGAAGAGGGGGTTCTTTTATAGTCTCTGAAAGACGAGTTAATTAAGGAACAAAAATTGAAGGGAATTAATGTTTTCCTTATTTTAAAAGAGCCAAAACAGATTTATTAATTTATTATTTACCAAATATATGAGCAAATAAATAAGACAAGGAAATAATTAGGAGTTTCCATAGTAAAGTAGGCACCGGCCAGCATATAAAAGCAATAATTACCTTAGTTAAATATTCACCTAATGCTAGATTGCCATAAATAAATAAGTGAGAATCAGTCAAGACAAATATTAATGGAAGGAGGGATCAATTTTCAGCATTATAATTTAATAAATATAAAATCAGCACTAAAATTTAAAAGGAAGAAAATAATACATGCTTTAACCCATAATTTCAAACTTATCATAGACAAAGGGGTCCAACAATTTACACCAAACTGATTACGCAAATCAATAAAGGTTAATAGAAATACGGAAGTCTAAATCACAGTAAATGAGTAATTCTACCACATATATAGCACTATTTATGCAAACAAATTTATGAGTCCACATATATCAAAGCACTATTTATGCTAGAATCAATCCGACTAATAGCAAAATTCCAGAAGTCAAGGAAACCCATAAGAATATTTTAAGCAAAGATAGCACTGGCTCTTAATTCACTGAGATAAAATCATGATTTGCCGAGAGGAAATCAGTCAAAGATAATCCACGAAGTAGCAATAAATAAATAAATAAATGAAGAAAACAATGAAAACCCATGAATTAGAGTCTAAAATCTGCGTACTAATTCAACGATGTTCCACTCGAACACGGGCAAATGGGAACAATAATCATGGATTTCGAATAGAGAAATCACAGCTCAGCTATGCTTTTTTTCTAAGAATCAACAACCAACATGTAATACTAAAACAAATCGAATCAGGCATTAGACAAACAGTTCAACTTAATCAAAAATGAAGAAAAGACTGAGATGATAAAACTGACTAGAAACCAAACCCGGGTGGATCTGAAAAAATCCGTCTTGTACGAAGTCCCAAAAATTCGAGCCTCGCCTGAGCTGTTGTTGTTGCCGACAGCTGTTGCTACTGATGTCGCGTTCACCGGAGATGCGACTGCTGCTGGTTCTCGCTAGTGGTTGGCTGGTTGCGTTGGTGGTTGTCGGAGCTGCGTCATTGGGTGGCAGCTTGACTAGTCGTAGTAGGTCTCGCCTGGCTGCTCTTGCTGCTGCTTCTCGGCATTCTCGCCAGAGGAGAGGAAATGAGAAAGAGGAGACGAAGAGGGAAGGGGAGAAGGGAGAGAAAGGCTCGCCGGGGCTATTGGTCGTGTCGTTCGCAGGTCGGAACGGAAGAAAGAAAAAGAGAGGGAGGCGGCGCTAGAGAGAGAGGGGAGGAAGAAAATGAGAATTGATTTTTAGGGTTCAGAGTTTTTTTATGATAAAATAGGAAAGAATGGGTGAGAGATCTGGGCTGTTGATTGATTTTGAGATGAGAGGCTGAGATTACAATAAAAGAAATCAACGGTTAGGATTAAAGATAGGGTCTTAAATCAGATTTTAAACTGGTTGTATTTGGAACGGCTAAATTTGAAATAATATTGGCTAGAATTGGAATGAAGGGGGTTATAATTGCAATACAATTGGAATTGAATAGGCCAGAATTGAAATGAATTAGAATAAAATCGGCTACAATTTAATTGATTTTGAGGAAAAATAAAGAAATGCTATCCAATTAAAGTACTACAAATATCATAACATTTTATATAATAAAAATCGCTTAAAATTTAAAACATTTGAAATAAAATAATTATTTTGAGTTTTACTAATAATTTTTAAAATATTTTAATAATAATTCAAGATAATTTTACAATCACGCATACTAAAATATATAATTTTAAGACAAAATTGATTAATATTTTAAACTCGAATATGTTTTAAAAATACGCTTTTAATCGAATAGCATTCCCAGAAAGGATTAGAGGTCGGTCAAAATTGGGTGTCAACAGTTACCCCTTGGTTCCTCTAAAAAATTCTGCCCCAGTATCGTGATTGGCAAGAAAATGTCCCTCTGATGGAATTTTTAAGACCATCTCAAAAATTCTGCCCCAATTACACAGTTAAAGGGGAAGATGAAACTTTTATTATGATAAGACCGAACTCCATAGGAGCACCTACGTATCCCCTCTTAAACGGGAATCAGGTCTGACATAGTTCCAAATACAGAGTAAAAGAGCATGAAACAAACTTAGATGTAATATCTCTTCACAGCATCTGAGTTGATAGGTTTGGGCCAAACTTCTCCATCATTTTCTGCAAGTATGAGGGCTCCTCCTGTCAATACCCGAGAGACTATGTATGGACCTTGCCAGTTTGGTGAGAATTTACCCTGTCCTTCATCTTGATTTGGGAAAATCCGCTTCAAAACCAGTTGCCTAGGTGAGAAGTGTCTGGGTCTAACCTTCTTGTTGAAAGCTCTGGCCATTCTATTTTGATAGAGTTGACCATGGCAAATGACGTTCATTCTTCTTCCATCTATTAAAGCCAGATTCTCCGCCCGAACTTGTATCCATTTAGCATCATTCAACTCTGCTTCCTGAATAATTCTTAGAGATGGTATCTCTACTTCAGCAGGTATCATAGCTTCATTACCATATACCAGAAAATAATGCGTAGCCCCAGTAGAAGTTCTGATGGTGGTACGATATCCCAGCAATGCAAACGGTAGCTTTTCATGCCAGTGTCTATGATTGTTGATCATTTTGCGTAATATCCTCTAGATTTTCTTGTTTGCAGCCTCAACCGCTCTATTCATCTGTGGTCTATATGCTGTAGAATTTTGATGATTGATCTTGAACTTCTCACACAATGATCTCATCAAATCACTATTTAGGTTGGTTCCATTATCAATGATAATTGACTTAGGAATCCCGAACCTACATATAATATCATTTTTGAAAAAGTCATCCACAACCTTCTTTGTCATTGATTTGTGAGAAGTGGATTCGACCCATTTGGTGAAGTAGTCAATTGCAACCAGAATGAATCTATGTCCATTGGATGTTGCTGGCTCGATTGGACCAGTGACGTCCATGCTCCAAGATGCAAAGGGTCAAGGTGAACTAGTAACATGGAGTTCGTTGGGAGGAACTCTGATCATATATGTATGAGTCTGACATTGGTGACATTTTTGAACATAGCGGATACAGTCTGTCTCCATAGTTAGCCAGAAATATCCCGATCTCAGGATCTTCTTCGCCAATGTAAAACCGTTTATGTGAGGACCACATGTTCCTGCATATATATCTTCAATCAACCTGTTGACTTCTCCAGCTTCGACGCACCTTAGCAACCCCAAATCGGGAGTCCTCCTATAAAGGATTTCTCCACTTAGAAAGAATTGATTCGCTAACCTCCGAATTGTACGCTTTCGTACACTTGTCGCATCCTCTGTATACTCACCACTCTTCAAATACTCTCGAATATCGTCGTACCAAGGCTTTCCATCAGGCTCTTCTTCAACATGGAAACAGTATGTTTGTTGCTCGTATATGTGATTGTAAATAGGATCAATGTAATTATGATCAAGATGTTGAATCATGGAAGACAAAGTGGCTAAGGCATCTGCGAATTCATTCTGGATCCTTGGCACATGTTTGAATTTTTCCTTGATGAACCTTTTGCACAACCGATGCACGTACTCCAAGTATGGTAACAACTTCCGATTATTGGTAGCACATTCGCCTCGGACCTGATGGATCAATAGGTCTGAATCTCCTATGATCAGTATTTCTTAGACATCCTATTCAATTGCTCGTCAGAGTCCTAATATGCAAGCTTCATATTCAGCCATGTTGTTTGAACAAAGGAACCTGAGTTTTGCCGGTATCGGATAGTGTTGCCCAGTTAGTGAGATCAGAACTGCTCCGATGCCAGATCTTTTCAAGTTCTTAGCTCCATCAAAGAACATTCTCCAACCGTCATATTCTTCAGATATGTCCTCCCCCACGAAAGCTACTTCCTCATCTGGGAAGTAAGTCTTCAATGGTCTATAATCATCATCTACAGGGTTTTCCGCCATATGATCTGCTAATATTTGTACCTTTATTGCCTTTTGTGTAACATACACTATGTCAAACTCGCTCAATAATATCTGCTAGTTAGCCAGTTTACCTGTGGGCATAGGCTTTTGAAAGATATACTTCAGGGGATCCATCCTTGAAATCAGATAAGTAGTGTGTGAGGAGAGGTAGTGTCGCAGCTTCTGGGAGACCCAATTTAAAGCACAACTGATACACTCCAATAGAGAGTATCGAGCCTCATATAATGTGAACTTCTTGCTCATGTAATATATCACCTGCTCCTTCTTTCCTGTTTCATCATGATACCCCAAAATGCAGCTGAAAGCATTATCCAGCACCGATATGTATAATAATAATGGTCTGCCAGATTCCTGTGGAGCCAACACAGGAGGATTGGACAAGTAATCTTTGATCTTGTCAAATGCTTGTTGACATTCATCTGTCCATTTCACCGCAGCATCCTTCTTCAACAACTTGAAAATAGGCTCGCAAATAACAGTAGACTGTGCTATGAAACAACTAATGTAATTTAGTCGTCCCAAGAAACTCATTACCTCATTCTTACTTTTCGGCGGAAGTAAATCACGAATGGCTTTGATTTTTGATGGATCCAATCCTATAACCCGACGACTGACAATGAAACCCAGAAGCTTTCCAACAAGAACCCCAAAGACATATTTTGCGGGATTCAACTTCAAGTTATACTTGTATAGTCTGGCAAAGAACTTTCGCAGATCATCCAGATGATTTGAACCCTTCTTTGATTTGATGATGACATCATCCATATAAACTTCAATTTCCTTGTGGATCATGTCGTGAAACATGGTGGTCATTGCTCTCATGTATGTAGCCCCAGCATTCTTTAACCCGAAAGGCATTACCTTGTAGTTGTAGACACCCCACGGTATGATGAAAGCAGTCTTCCCAGCATCGTCCTTATGCATCTCAATTTGATGATAGCCGGCAAAGCAATCCACTAATGATTGTGTTTCATGCTTAGCACAGTTGTCAATCAAGATGAGTATGTTGGGCAATGGAAAATTATCCTTGGGACTAACTTTGTTAAGATCTCGATAATCCACACAAACTCTAACCTTTCCGTCTTTCTTGGGCACTGGAACGACATTTGCAAGCCAGTTGGGTACTCCGTCACTTGAAGGATTCCAGGATCTAACTGCTTTGATATTTCTTCTTTGATTTTCAAACTCAACCCAAGCTTGTATTTTCTCAGTTTTTGCTTCACAGGAGGACAGGCTGGATCAGTGGGCAATCGATGAGCTACAATTGAAGTGCTTAGCCCCGTTATGTCTGCATAGGATCAAGCGAAGATATCCTTATTCTCCATGAGACACTCGGTATATTCTTTGTTGTCATCATCCGTCATATAGATGCTTACTCGGGTCTCTTGTGCCACTTCTGAATTTCCTAGATTTACCACCTCTGTTTCCACTAAGTTCGGATTGGACTTTTCCTCGAATTCCTCAACCTTTCTGGTTAACTCTTCAGGGACCTCATTTTCCTCGACTTCTGCTAAGTCATTAATGTAAAGTTGTGCAGTCTCATTATATGCCATAGTCTCAGATTCAACATTTTTATAACAGATTTTTCTGGAAGAAAGAATAACACACAAATAAATTAAGGATATTAAATAGATGGAAAAATAACTTTATTGATTAAAACTCAAGAGTTTCATAAAACTATCATTTGAAAACAATAACAGAGAACTGGTATTTTAAAATTGTTTATTGAAAACTTTAAAAATTTGATAGAAAATTTCTTACAAAGCTACCCAGATGTCCGACGAGGTCAAGATGGAGTTGAGGTCCAAATGATGATGATGATCTTCTCTTCATTACTTCCTCTAGGGTCCCCTTTCTCCTCCTCGTTGATCACGACATTGCAACCCTTTCCTTCCTCCTTGGTCAGAGATAAATCCTTCATGTCTTCCAAAAGCTCATCAATGATACCTCCCATGAAGCTTGCTAATCAGAATTATTGGTGCAACAGTGGTATCGGTTTCTTCAATGGATAGTAGTACCCATCTCTAGGTGGTTGCCAATCAAGCCACTCCTCAATAGTATATTTATATCCCAGGCCAAAAGTGGTTGAGTGATGAATAGGTTGTATAGGTTCAACTATTCCCTGTAGATTAGCTCCCAAACCTTTCCCGAGCTCGAACCCAAACTAGGCCATCATATCTATGATCTTCTGACTGAACCACGGTTGCACTTCAATGTTGCTAACAAGCTCAACTATATGGCACATCTCATCGTCTAGATGACCCATTCCTTCTATAGCATACACAAGATAACCTCTTTCCCCATGGACTATAACCTCTTCATGATCCCATTTGAACTTCAAACATTGATGAAGAGTTGAGGGAACCGCTACAGCCATATGAATCCAAGGACGACCTAGCAATAGGTTATATGAAGATGGAATGTCCAAGACCTGAAAAGCTATTGGGAAAGTAGCAGGATCAATAAGCATGTCCAAGGTTATTTCCCCAATAGTACCCCTCTGAGAGCCATCAAAAACTCTCACATTCATCTTCCGGGTTTGGATCTTTACACTATCGATGCCTAACCTTGCCAATATGCTTAGAGGGCAGATATTCAAACCCGAACCTGAATCAACCAAGGCTTTGGTGATTATCTTGTTCTGATATTGAGTTGAAATGTACAAAGCCTTATTGTGGGTTGTTCCTTCAATTGACAACTCATCTTCGTGAAAAGATATTTTGTATGCCTCAAAAACCTGCCCAACCATTTGGGCTACCTCTCCATGAGTGATGCTAGATGGGACGTAGGCTTCACCCAGGACCTTCAATAGAGAGTTTCGATAAGTTTCGGAAGATTGCAGCAATGACAAGATTGATATTTGGGATGGGGTTTTACTCAATTGATCAACAATAAAGTACTTTTTAGCTTGCACCTTCTTCCAAATACCATGATCTTCAAACTCTACAATTGGTGCCTTGGACTTGCTGGAGCTACCCTGAACCAAATTTTCAGAAGTGTAAATTCTTCCGGATCTAGTCACTCCTGCTGCAGTGTCTGCTTCTTCCACTTTCGCCTTTCCCTTTCCATAATCCTATGGGACATCATGGGTATTAAATTGGAGAGGGGGAGGTTCTCTGAGGACGGTGAATGGAGGCTTGGGCATGGCAACCTCAACCTCAAATGGAACACGCCTTTGCACTACCATTGGAGTTTGGGCGGTAACAGTCATTGCTTCTTCTTGCTCAAGGACCCAAATGGATTTCTCCCAATTTGAGGTATCATCAAATTCTACCATGTTGACCTAATGGTTAGGCAGAGGGTTGTTTGCAACATTTGGTGTCGGATCCTTGAGTTGGATGGCCTTTGTATCAATCAGCATTTGAACCTTATCTTTCAGGGCTCTGCAAACTTCGGTAGTGTGACTCTTTATCCCAGAATGGTAGGCACAAACCTTGTTAGGGTCATACCATTTTGTGCGGACATCCACAGGGGTGACATAGCCGGCCTCTTTCAGTCTCTCATAAAGCTGGGCTATGGGCTCAGCCAGAGGGGTATAGTTTTTTGCAGGTCTTCTTTCATATGGAGGTCTGTTTTGGTAGTTCGGTGTTTGGGTAGGTGGTGGAGTTTGGAAATATGTTGGTTGGGCATTATAAATAGGATATGAAGCTTGCTGATAT